GCTCTTCCGGCACAAGCTTTCCGATCCTCGCCGTCGCTATCATTGGAATCCTGGCGACAGCGTTCTTGCTCGTAAGCTACTACGTCTTCGTGATCAAATGTTGTCTCAATTGGGACCGAATCGATCTCCTTCGCCGGTTTTCGTTATCCCGGCGACGAAACGGTCAAGACCCTTTAATGGTTTACTATCCGGCGATCAGAAACTGCGGTTTGGATGAATCCGCGATTCGAGCGATTCCGATTTTCAAGTTCAAGAAGAGGGACGGAGGTGGAGAAGCGGAAGAGAAGAGCTGCCAAGAATGTTCCGTTTGTCTGAATGAGTTTGAAGAAGATGAGAAACTGAGGATTATTCCGAATTGTTGCCACTTGTTTCATATAGATTGCATCGATATCTGGCTTCAGAACAACGCCAACTGCCCTCTCTGCAGGACAAGCGTTTCCTGCGACACAAGGTTCCCTCCCGACCAGATACCGGGCCCGTTCCCCGGGGACCCAAACTCGAGCCTGAACCACGGAACCCTCGTCAGAGGTGACAGTGAATTCGTGGTTATCGAATTAGGCACTAGGAACAACGGTTCTAGCGCTCGGAACCAGAGTTTACTTGCTGAACAAGAAAGGTCAAACCTCGGCCAAGTAACGACCGGAAACACTCCTTGTTCGGTCAGTCCTTCGCCAATGAAGATCGATCAAGGGCCGTTGCGCAAAAAAGGGAGGAAATTTCATAAAGTGACGAGTATGGGGGATGAGTGTATCGACATAAGAGGCAAAGACAACGATCAATTCCGAGTTCAACCCATCAGAAGATCCATCTCAATGGATTCGTCGGCGGATCAGCAGCTGTACCTGGCGGTTCAAGAGGCGATTAACCGGCAAAACCGGCAAGTTCCGGTGGTCGGAGACGGTGGTTGTAGTAGCAGCAGCGGCAATGGCAATGGCAATGTCAGTAACAGAGTGAAGAGATCTTTCTTCTCCTTCGGAAGCAGTAGAGGTTCTAGAAGTTCCATATTGCCTGTTTACTTGGATCCCTAAGTCGCTCTTCTTTCTTTTTTGTTCCGTCCGTTTTTTTTTGTCAAGTTGGTCGTTCGTGTAGGCGTTAGAAAGTCAAAAGAGTTTGTTGACTTGTATTGCAGGTTTGAAAAAAATGAATTGTTCCTTTTCTTTTTTTTTTCTTTATTTAATTTTCTAAGATATTTAATTTTATATATATTTAGAATTTGTGGATATGTAGGTAGTGTAGATTTTAATCTATTCTTCTACGTTGATTTTTTTTAATGGGTTTCTAGTTTTAAGGTGTAAATTTTAATTTGTCCCTAGATTTTATATGTTAATAAAGCATCATTTTTCAAATTTTCTTCCTATTAAATAAACTTATATAAACACATACGATCTCAATAATCAAATCGGAATAATCCATTCAATACATTTCCTGCCCTTTTTCCGATAACAATTTATCGATGATCTAAAAATCGTAAAAGCTTTTGCCATGCAATTTTTGTGAAATTTTCGAATCAATCCAAAACTGTAAGATCACGAGAATCCCAAAAGGGAAAAGGAGGAGAGATATATGGTATGGTAGGACATGGAGGGACCATACCATATTTGATTTATCTGGATGTATAATTACTAATTAGTCGTACGATGGGGTCATCATATATATATATATATATTGAAATCGACCGTAAATTTATAAAATTTGAATCTGAATGGAATCTAGCAGTTTGACGCATAGGATCATGTTTCTTTTCCTTGTATATATATATATATAATATTGAGGTGGTGTGAATGTATGGGTTGTGTGTTTTATTGTCATCAATACTTATCTAGACAGCGATATGTACAAGGAAACAAAAAAGTCACACCAATGTCTATTGGTTGGTCCAAAAGATAAAATTATTTCTTCAGTTGGTGAAATTTGTGATACGTTGTGCAATTACTCTCAAAATGCAAATTCTTATACTTTGGGCTTTATAATTTTGAAATGATTTTTATTTTATTATATAATCTAATTCATAGGATTCATAAAGATTGGGTCACAGTAAAACTCAGAGCCCAAAGGCCCAAATAAAGCCCATGATGACCATATACAAGTTCACCGGCGAGGCCTTGCCTTTCTCCGCCGCCGGGAAAATCGAATCAGAGAGCTACCACCGTGCGATAAAGATACTGGTCGCCGTTAAGCGGGTCGTCGACTACGCCGTCAAGATCAGGGTCAAACCTGACAAGGTACGAACAAAACCCTAATCGCGTTCATTTCTCCAACCCGTCGGAATCTCCGTGCAATCGCTCTCATTTCGCTGAGCCCTTGATCGGATTTCTGGAAACAGACCGGGGTCGATGTACAGAATGTGAAGATGTCGATGAATCCGTTCCGCGAGATCGCGCTCGAAGAAGCCCTTCGAATCAAAGAGGCGGGCATCGCCGGCGAAGTCGTCGCCGTCAGCATCGGACCCGCCCAGTGCGTCGACACGCTACGGACGGGTCTAGCGATGGGTGCGGACCGGGGAATCCATGTGGAGGCGAATCCAGACCTTGTCCCTCTGACGATTGCGAAGATTATGAAGAAGCTCGCTGAGATCGAGAACCCTGGGTTGGTTTTCCTTGGTAAACAGGTACCTTGTCTGGGTTGTCATTGACTCTTTTTTTGTTAATTGAGTTTCTCTTGAATTTGAGGAATTTTTCGAACTGGGTCGAATGTTTTCTGCATGAGTTTGACTGGGCTGCCTCGAATTTTTTGGGATTTGTGGGTGGTGTTTACTGGTTAGTGTCATACGGTACAGTTTCTGAACTTCTATTAGCTTATCTGCGTTTAATTTCAGCAAAAAATGATGGGTTTCCTGCCAAATCCGACGACGCATTAGTCTTTCATATGATAATGTCCTTGAGTTGTAGGCTTAGGACAAAGACCATTGATGGTCAAAGTTGTTTGCACCTTGTTTTGCGTGAATGGTGTTTCAGGAATGTCTTGCTTTCCTCTGTTTGTGTCTTGTGAATTGCCTCAAAATCTTGTCTTTACACATTCTTCAACTGCTCTATAAGCAATAGACGATGACTGCAACCAAACTGGACAAATGGTCGCAGGATTGCTTGGTTGGCCACAGGCAACATTTGCCTCAAAGGTATGGTTTGGTGGTGGCCTTTTGCGGCACCAATACTCAGAGTTCTAGGCTTGCAGCAAGTTTTTTCCAACCTATGGATCTTGGATTCGCTAATCGCTTCCCTTTCTCAAGCTCTTGTTTCGGGTTTGTAGTTTAATCGTTTGTTTCATGTGACGATCAATGTTGTTTTAGTAGGTTGTATTGGACAAGGGCAAACAGGTGGCAACAGTGGATAGAGAAGTGGACGGCGGCCTGGAGACCGTTAGTGTGGACTTGCCTGCCGTGATAACGCAAGTTGTAAATCATCGTCAACTTTTAGTGCTTGTCTATAAATCTCATAGCTATTCCATGTGTGTATTTAGCTGATCCCATGAAATCTGCATCAACCTTGTTCTGTCATTATCACGTATTGACGCTCCTAAACACTTGTAGACTAGATGCTTGTGAATAATTAGTGGGGCAATCCCACACAAGGCTTACTTGCCCGAAATTACTAGAGCGGCTAGATTTAGAAGCAATTTCCAGATGTAGGAATTATGTTGATGATTTTTGGAGTGACAAGAATGTTTAACCTTATGTTTTGGATATCCAGGTATGACTATGATTTAGTCGTACCATTAGATGCAAAATATGTACGCCCATATGAATCTTATTATATGGAAACTAGCATTCACAATTTCACATTCAGCTTGATATCATCCTTTCGATTGCGGTTTCTGTTCTTTGGTTTCCTGTGAAGATTTTCGGTGTTTTTAATGCAGAACTGACTTGAGACCGATAAAGAAAATGACGGCCGAGGATCTGAACATAGACCTGGAACCCGACATTGAGATCGTTGAAGTCAAGGAGCCAAGAGGAAAGCAGGTGTCGTCGTTTCATCGGTGGACGAATTGATCGATAAGCTCAGAAACGAAGCTCGTCTACTTTGAAAAAGAAACCCCCTTTGTTGTGGTAATGAATGATGATGCTTCTCTTACAGACAGTGGTTGCATTATTCAGTAAAGCAGAAGTAGATAATAATAATAATAATAAAGTTTGAATCTTTAGCGCATTTTGTTCATGAGTGTTTTAAATCCATTTATCCAACTGGTATGGTTGAAGAAAATTTTATCCATCTTCTTAATATTTTCTTTTCAGATCTTGAAGCTGTCTAAGGGTCAGCTTGACACAGCGTCAAAGTCATTTGCCGTGGGACATGAGATCGCGGATTCAAATCAATCTCTCTCTATAAAAAGTAAGGAAGTATCTTCTTTTCCCAACTCTCCACTAGATAGATATCGGAATTGAATTGCAAAGTGTATCCCCCATCTCGGGTTCGAATCTCAAGTTGGAAAGGGAGCATAATTCAAATCACATGGTTCGATCCCATTCCCAAAATTAGTCTGGACCTCGACATAGAATCCATAATACCCAGCTACCCAAAAAAATCTTGAGGCTGTCCTAGGAATGGTAAGCATCTTCCCACGTTTTGCCATCTCGAAAATGGATCGTTCTTGGACACTGAGTGGGCGTATATTTAGGGTTATTTGTGGTTGAGATCGTTCTTGGTTGAGATCCTTATTTGTGGTTAAGAACTCCTAAATAAAATTAATTTTATTTTTCTGCAATTCTCTCCTAATTAATTATATACTACTTTAATAATGCATACAAAAACATTTTCTTGAAAAAAAAATCCTAAATTTAAAACTCTAAATATGTTTAATTACAATAGCGTCGTATAGGTAATCAACCGAAATCACATCTGACGGTTTGGATTCTATCGGTTTTTGGACAGTTGGGTTTAGTTAAATTAAAAAATATATATATATATATATATATAAATTGAATTCGGTTTCGGTTCGGTTCTAGGATAAATTATAATACTTGGATACAAACTAAAATAACATATTCGAACCGAATTGTGACGAAAGCAATTCAATATGTTGTGTGGTACCATACACAGCCACATAATGCAAGTTGAAAAGGAAAAAAATGTATAGAGAAAGATTTGTACAATGAATTAATCACTAATCATGCATGTCATGGCGCCCATATAGAGGAGTACGTCAGGGGACGGTTCCCCGACCAAAACGACTTTTATATCGACGTATCATTGTTATAACTTTTGTTCTTGTATAAGGTACTGTACTACTGTATATATAATATTTTTCAAATTTTGTTCTTGTATAACGTACTGTGTATATATATATATATACTATTTTTCAAGTCAATTCATGTAAAGAAACAAGAAAGAAATGGAAAAAAAAATACAAAGAGCAATAGTAATTAAGAATCTTCTACGTTTGTTATCTTTGTGTATACATGCACATACATGACACTTACGTGTATATACTGAAGTTCTTTGTCTTTCTTGCCATCATATGTTTGAATGTATCTGGATGCAGACGATGATAGCATGCATGCATACATACATACAAACATTCATGCACACATAGTACAATCGTACAGATATTGCCGTATCAACATGTGCTGGGAACCACCAAGACTGTGATTAGAGAATAGTAAGTGACGTGACTTAGGGTTTTATTTTCACAACAGTTGTCTTCAGCTAACTACAACCACATATGCATTGCAAACAAAAAAAAAATCTAAGATTTTTTTATCTTACTACTGCTTCTAGATTGCCTCAACCGAAATGTAATTTGCCAAACAAATAATATATTTATCATCTTGATAATATGATATTTACTATAGGAACCAGAGGGAGGGTCCATGCATGATAAATTCATCGACCATGGTTTGAGAATCACATGACTCTCAGACACAATATATAACATTCTCGTCGCATGCAATTATAGCTACTATAATGTATATAAACACGTATCATATTCATATCACACAATCTCCATTATTTGAATTGCCAAAACCCATCACATACCATATAACTAAACAACCATAGGTCCACTATGTAATCAATCGATATTAATTTACAATGAAAATTAACCCTAACTGCGTTAACAAAAAAAAAAATTAACCCTAACTGGTATGTATGTATGTATGTATGTATGTATGTATGTATGTATGTATGTATGTTCGTGTCTTAAACCTGATTGGACCCATCTTTGTACTCGATCTATGGCGGCCGTAAAAATGTCTGTCAGCTCATTAAATTGAAGGTGTAGAAACAACGCAACCAGATGTGACAGAGCAAAGCGAAGAGTAAAAATTTATTAGAGATGATGGTTGGTTAATCAAATGGCTATTAACGCTACACGTGTCGAGCGTGTGGATTCACGTAATCCACACAAAAAGGCTCTGTACGGACAGAGACACGATTGACTTACGATAGCCAAAGACCACCGAGTGTCGGCAGAAACATACGTATAATCACGGAGGATGTTTTTGTTGTGGACGGCGGACGGTTGTTGACGACAGCAAAACTCCGTCAATTCGATCGATTTCAGATAAGTACCTGAAATTAAAAGAATATTTTGTCGAGACCTGTGAAACACAATTTCCTTAAGTTCGATTTCCATGCCACCTCTAAAGTTTCGAGGCTATTGGAGTACGGTGAACTCCCATGATACAATGTTGTTATGGAAAAACATACGTATAATCACGGAGGATGTTTTTTTTGGTAAGCGGATATAATAGAGACGTTATCTAGACTAATCATGGGATTAGGGATACATAATATGATTAAAATATACGTTTTTATCTTCAATTTAAGATTCGAATTCGACAGAACAAACTTGTGTTTCCATTTTAATGGTTAAATTATACAATTTGGATTCACGAGATATAATTAAAGATGCCGTGAAAATAAATAAAATCGTATTTTTTTACATTTTAATCTTGATATTTTTGGTTGAGTTGGACTAATTATAATTTAAACCCAATCTAACCGAGATATCGTATGGATTGATATATATCTTTGCTATCAATTTTTTTCTTTACAAATAAAAAAAAGCAGTTTAAAGGGTTAAATACGCATCAATATTAAATTAATTATAATCTAAACCGAATCGAATATAATCAAATACAGGGAATATATATTATATATATATAGACAAAATCATTTATCACATGCCGAAAATACAATTTGTTTATATCCTAGAAAAAACAACAACCGACCGACCAGTTACGTACACGTTATGTAAAAAGGGCGGCGAAACCAGTATGCGTTTTTTTCGGACGATGTATACGAGTCAATTTTAATAAAATTTTGTAATTATAATTATTAAGGCGTTATAGATATCCTACTATATATATATATATATATATATATATGTATGTATTTATTTGTTCTCTCCTTGTGATTATAATTTATAATAAATTCCTTTTGGATGGTATATCTCATGTTCCTGGACTCCATTAGAGCCCGTTTAAGTAGTATAAACATCAATAATCCTTTTTCATTGTATTTTGAACTGACTATACGGTCTTTTTTGTTTTATAACTACAATACAACATTTCGTGTGGTTTTAACAATGATACACAAAACGTCGTCGTTTTTGGAATAGTTAGAGATTTTTCCTGTTCTCCTTGTTCACATCAACTCGAAACTAATTCTATTATAAAGTATTAATTCTTTTTTGTAATTCGGAAATTTATTTGGCAGTCGATTCAGTTATATCTCCTAAAGAACCGAAAAACTCAGGCGAATATCCCTTCTCAAATAGAGATTCGAACCTAAATTGAGAAGGAATTTTTTCTCATCTTTTTACCAATTGAATCATTCAGTTTTGGGTATATCACACTAATTAAATAGAATCTTAGCATATTGAGATCTCTTCCGAATCTTAATTTATAAAAAATGAGACTAGTAAGTTAGTAATAGTAACAAATCATACGATTGAAAACTGAGATGAAAGAAAAAATCAACTTAATTATCTGATATTTTTAAAGGCCGATTATAATGTGAACCGTTTTATTTAGAAAAACTTTGAAAATAAAAGGAAAAGAATTTTGGGATAAGAAATAGTTGGCATGCATGTGTTCGAGGGTTCCATCAGACTCATCAGAAAACGATATGTGTATGTATACATGCTTGTATGTATATATGTATCTATGCATGTAGATGTAGTACGCATATAACAAGATATAAATGCACGCAACTGGCGAGGATGATTGATAGCTTATCGTCATTTGTGTTTTATATTAAAAAAAAAAGGAAATTTGGAAATTAAGTGTCTGAAACTTTCGGACTAAATTTTTGTAGCTAACATATGAAAAAAAAAATTAACTTAATTTTAGACCATTTTTCATCACATTAAATCATAATATATACGTATAGATGCATGCATGCATATATGTATGTATGATAAATGCACGCAGCTGGCGAAGATGATTGATAGCTTATCATTTGTGTTTTATATTAAAAAAAAGAAAAATTTAAGGGAGATTAGGTGCTTGAAAACTGTCGGTCATAAAATTCTAACTAAGAAAGAAACATATGAAAAATTTAATGATTTAATTTTACACTATTTTTCATCACATGAAATCATATATTATATTATATTATATTATATTATATTATTCGAATACGCCAATTATGATTCGGATATCCTGGATAATGAGATGTCGAATATTTATGGTACCATATATAGGTAGAGTATTTTTGTCTATCGTACCTACCACATGCATGGCCAGTGTAATATCGAATCATTTCTTTAAAAATTAAAATGCATCGCGTATGAAAAGATTATCTTAAAGACCACACACATACACATAGCACGTCTGTACCCTCGTGGCTCCATTCGGGAAGTGAATTAAATAATTGTAAATAATAATTACTAATTTTAGAGATGATGCCGAAATTTATTTAAATTTCTTTTGATGATGTGTACAAAAAGCAAGAGACGTAACAGGAAGGGGAAAGTTCCCTCTTTGGACAATTCGACCGAACCATACTACACTACATATACCACATGACATAACATATATATGCATTCCCAATAATAATTTTTTTTTATTATACATAATATCGTTTGAATTCTCGTTTTGGTACGTTCGTACACGCATGACACAAAGTCCTCCACCTCCACGTCAACGTCTGCTCATTGTTTCCGACATTTATATATTTGAACCACCCAAATTAAATGCATGCAGTAAAAACGATTTTCCAAAATAAAAGTAAACCGTAATTGCCAAATTCACCACCGGTTACGCTTGTCTATAAAAGGCCGTACACTGCAAACCAAACCCTAAAACACTCCCACTTCGCCACTTAAACTCTCTCTCTCTAACAATCTAAAGCCGATATCCACTAAAAAAATGATTGCAACAAAGAACGTGACCGTACTCGAATCCATCGGTCACAGTGACTTCAAGAAAACCGACCGTCAAATGGTCGTGGACAGCTCCAAAACCGGCGTGAAGGGTCTAATAGACGCCGGTTTAACCAAACTTCCCGGAATATTCGTCCACGAGGATTCAGAATCCGAACAATTACGCAAACCCTCGAACCCTAATATCGCTGTGAACATTCCGGTGATCGATCTAGAGGGAATTTCGAGTTCGAAATCCAACTTTAGAAGCGATCAGACGAAAAGCAAAGTGGTTGATGAGATGAGGAAGGCTTGCGAGAAGTGGGGGTTCTTCCAAGTCATCAACCACGGGATCCCTAAGAACGTTCTCGACGGGATGATCCGAGGGATTCGTAGGTTCAACGAGGAGGCAGAGTCCGAGAAAGAGGCGTTTTTCTCGCGAGACCCGTCGAGAAAAGTTGCCTTTCACAACAAGGTTGACTTTCGCGAAGGCAGGGCTTATTGGAGAGACACTTTGAGATGTGTCATGGCTCCAAACCCTCCTTCCCCCGAAGAGTTGCCTTTGGCTTGCAGGTATATATATATACACACACACACTCGCATTTATAGTATATGTACGTACTCATGTACTGGTTATATTATATATATGCCTAGACATGACTAGATCCTTGTGACAGAGCCTCCCCACTTTGAAAATTGTACGTCCAACGGACAAAACTGATGAAAGTTGGTTGCTTTAATTACCAGACCGTCCGTATACAACAAATAGAGCAATGGCTACATTCAATTCAATCGGGGTGTGATCTAATACATTTTCATCAACTTTTTCTCTCGTGAAGGGAAATAATCATGGAATACACGAAAAATGTGAGGAACCTTGGGACCATTCTCTTCGAACTGATGTCGGAAGCGTTAGGGCTGGAACCGAACCATCTGAAGGACATAGGATGTCTCGAGGACTTTTACATGATGGGACACTACTACCCTCCTTGCCCTGAACCCGAACGTGCGATGGGAACCGGAACTCACACGGACAGTGGCTTCCTCACTGTTCTCCTCCAAGACCAGATCGGCGGCCTCCAAGTCCTCCATGACGACTATTGGATCGACGTTAAACCCATCCCTGATGCTCTTATTATCAATCTCGGAGATTTTCTGCAGGTATGTACTTCTTATAACTTGATTAACATTTCGATACCTATATATCTGTAATAAAAATAAAACGAATTGTTTGATATAATTATATATCTAAAGTTGTTGTTTCTATGGTTCATATGACGTGGATTTATGTTATTAGAAAGCATAAAGTTCTTGGAATTTAAGATTCCTATAGGGACCACATCTAGATTTCCATGAGAAGACAACTCGCTTTTATGGCCCGGTGTCTTACGAAATATATATATATATATATATATATATATATATATATGTGTGTGTGTGTATATATATATATGATTGTTGTTTTCAACTCTCGTAAAGTCCACATCAACACATGGTGATGCTTTTATGATGATGGGTTTTATTGTTTGGTCTATTTTGCTTTCCTCTTATTTCCAAACTATGTGGAGAATTATATGATATAACAGTGATCACCTCTTAATACCTGTAGCTGATCTCGAACGACAAGTTCATAAGCGTGTACCATCGGGTTCTGACAAAGAAAGCTGGTCCGAGGATATCGGTTGCGAGCTTTTTCGGGTCATTCGTGAAGAACGAAACTCGCCCTCGGGTTTATGGACCGATCAAGGAGCTTCTGTCCGAAGAAAACCCTCCAAAGTATCGGGAAACAAACGTGGCTGATTACTTCAATTTCAAGCATGCCAAAGGAGTTGAAGGGACCAGTGCCCTTGCCCATTTTGCACTCTGAGTTCCTAGGAACGGCCCTTCTCCAGTAGCTGCAGCAGTAACGGGAGGCCTTTTTCTGCAGTATATGTCTGTATGGTTGATTATTCTACGAGCTAGAAGATACTGTTCTTTAATTCAAATTTGTGAGTTGTTGTTATGAGTCTCTTTATATATATATATATGTTAGTCTTGGGGTTTGATCGTGGAAGAGAAATAAGTGAGCTTTTGTATGGAGTGCGTGTAACATAAGTGAAATAATTGAATGTCCGATGTCCCTTTATCCATTTTCTTCTCTGTTTTCTTTCCACTACAAAAGATAAGAAAAAAAACCCTCTGTGTTTAAGAAGTCAATTGGAACATGGACATGTGGACATGCACATTCATGCCTCATCAGCCTTTTTCCCACTCGATCCCCCTCGGATGCATGCATGCATGCTCATCTCGTGGCTGCACCATAACGTGGACTCATTTCATACCAAAGACTTGCTGTTCAATTGAAATAAATGTTCAAGCGTCACTGGATAAACCCTAAACCCATTAAAATATTAGATTCCAAATGTTGGGTTTGGTCCAAAACCGTTGGGTTTATTGGGTAGAGAGAGATTCTGGCATGGGTTTTTCTTCATATGGCCCAGAAGCTAAAAAGATACTCGGTAAACAGCGGTGGGGATAGCTAATTTAGGCGTTACAGAAACAGAACAGAACAGAGGAGCATAACACGGACAAACACCCTGCAGTCTACAGTGTTGATGAACGAGGAGATGAAGGACAACTTAGGACGCAAGAAACAAATGAAGAAGACCCACATTTGACCGAGAAACAGAAGGAAGAAGACATGTTCTCAGCTAGAGGGTTCGAAGCTCTTGAACGTTAGAGTTGATTGAAGAAAATCTGCAATTTACCATCTGTAATATCTCTTCATTCCTTATGCATATATCACATCCTTAGTTTCCTTTTTCTTTTCTAGAATGTATTCTATATATTGTAAAGAGTATCCATGTCAATATACACGTGAATTTCTTTTCTTCTTCTGCAACTTATTCGATCTTCTTCTTCCTCCCTTTCTCTTTGCTTCCGCCTCTTATTCTCCTTATTCTTTATTTGATCTAGACTCTTGATTTCTTTACAGTCTACAGATCAATTACAATATATATTTACACCCTGAATCTCTTTCCTTAAAACCCATCAGCTTCGGACATTTTCTTGTCTGGGCGTGTCATATCCTGAAATGGCGCAACTGCGATGTTCCATCAAGGCCTTTCGAGATGTACTTGCTTGTGTATTCAGTTATTGTCATGTCTCTGTACTTTGGAGGATTCTCTTCGGACAGAAGCTCTTTGATTGGTCCGTAAACTCTGGGATTCGGTAGTACGCCCGTGCTGAAGAAGCATGCTACCGAGATTCGTGGCCCAGCTCGGTTCGCTAGTACCCTGTGCTCCGCGCTTATGAACTTATCGTTCGTTAGAAGCTGCAGAAAAATCAACACCGACTCCAGAGAAATAAGCCATTACAATCTCGGTGGTTCTTTATGCTGTCAAAATGCTGAATTTGGGTTTAACTTTTCTATGTATATGTATTGAAATCGTATCGATGACTCGCCTGTAGGAAATCGCCAAAGTTAACTACGAGCGCACCGGGAACAGGAGGAACGTCGACCCAACAATCTTGATGGGAAACTTGAAGACCACCGATGTGGTCCTGAAGAAGAACTGTGATAAAGGAACTGTCTGTGTGCTTACTTGTGCCCAAAGTTAGGTCAGGCTGAGGACATGGCGGGTAGTAATGGCTAAGCACAAACAAACCCTTTGCGCAGTCCATGTCTTTTAGGGTTTCTGGGTTCAAACCTAGAGCTTCTGATAAGAGTTCGAACAGCAGATTCCCCAAGTTCATCACGTGCTTCGAGTATTCCATCATAACGTCCCTGAGAAATTCAGAAATGAAAAACTTGGGTGAAATTCATTAATTTCTTGCGTATTTTTCCAGTTATATATATAGTAAAATATACAGGAAAAAACGGATAAAAAAAAGAAGAAGTGAACCGGCAAGAATCTGGCATATCTTCCGGCTTTGGAGGATCTGGGGCAATGTAACAAGACAAGGTGTCTCTCCAGTTCGCAGATGGCGAACTGTACAGATCGAAATTACTGTTGTAACCCAATCTGTTCGTGTAATCACGCGAAAAATATCGCTTCTTGGCTTCAAGATCTTCTTCATGAAACCTACGAACTCCATCTTTCATCTCTTCAAGAACACTCAAGGGAACTCCATGGTTGATCACTTGGAAGAATCCCCACTTCTCTGCTGCGTTTCTAACATCCTCGACCACATTCTTGCGTGAAAACTCGTCCTTGAAGGCACCTTCCAGGTCTATAGTAGGAATCGCAAGAGGGAGAGGCGGTTTCCTGTCGGCTAAGGTACCTGGCTGAATATGAAAGATCCGAGGAATCTCCGTTATTCCTGAGTCGACAAGTCCTTTCACTCCTGCTTTTGTCTCGTCAAAGGCTTTTAGCTCTTTCGCACGGTCGAACTCGCCGGAGTTTGTCGCAACCATTTTTCCCGGCGAATGGTTATCTCCAAGATTTAACCTAATTGTTTATATGGGCATGGCATAAATTCTATAAATATACCGAATCAGATCGAGAATGTATACAATTAAACCCACATCCATTGTGCGATCCAAGAGAATCCGGTAAACGTCAAAAGCAAGACATTGCTGCGATTAAAAGAATGGCGGTTTGGAGTTTTGTGCGGCGGATCCAGACAAGCTAGTTGTCATTATGTTTTGTCTTCTACAAAGCGTAGTTGATGTGAGAGTACACTTCTTAGATATTTAAAGGGACATTTAAGAGAAAAAAACGAAAGATGCGTAGACGCAAACGCAACATTTTGCGTGTCACAAAGAGACAGAACAGAGTAGTAAACACATTAATTTGATCCAACAAACACAGGGTTACAAAATTATACCCCGATCATTTTTTTTTATAAATTTCATTCATATCCTGAAATGGTCCAACTTCGAATTCCCATCGAGGCCTTCCTCGAGGTATTTGCTTGAGTACTCTTGTATTGTGACGTCTCTATACTTTGGAGGGTTTTCTTCGGACAGTAGCTCTTTGATGGGTCCGTAAACTCTGGAACTCGTTCGCACACTCGTGCTGAAGAAACATGCTACCGACACTCGTGGTCCAGCTCGGTTCGCTAGTACCCTATGCTCCACGCTTATGAACTTATCGTTCGTTATGAGCTGCATATAATTTCAAAAGTTACGTAACCTAAAATCTCGGCTTCACACTATACTTTGGCTGCATGCATGCATGCTTAACGTTTCTTTGTATGGATCCTCCACTTGTTTCAGAGCTAAAATATGGTTTTTTTAAAAAGAAAAAGAAAAAGATATCATCCTAAAGTTTATGTGCCGAAATATATGGATCGATGACTTGCCTGAAGAAAATCTCCAAAGTTAACAATGAGAGCCCCCGGAAGAGGAGGAACGTCGACCCAACAATCGCGATGGAGAACTTGAAGACCGCCGATGTGGTCTTGAAGAAGAAGTGTGAGGAAAGAGTTGTCGGAATGCTTGCTTGTGCCCAAAGTTAGGTCAGGTTGTGGACATGGTGGGTAGTAATGGCAAAGAGTAATCAAGCCCTTTGCGCAGTCCATTTCTTTAAGGCTGTCGCTGTTCAAACCTAGCGCTTCTGACAGAAGTTCCAAAAGAAGGATCCCCAAGTTCATAACGTGATTCGAGTATTCGATTATAATGTCCCTGAGAAATTCGCAAAAAACATATAGTTGTGATAAGAATCACTCTTGTTCAGCGTGTTTGTGTATATATAGACGGTAAAACCCGTAAATCGAAATGTATACCTGCAGGCCTCAGGGATTTCTTCTGGTTTTGGAGGATCTGGGGACATATAACAAGCTAAGGTGTCTCTCCAGTTTGCAAAAGGAGAAATATACAGATCGAAGTTACTGTTGTAAACAACTTTCTTGGTGAAATCCCGAGAAAAGAATCTCTTCTTCGATTCACCGTCTTCGTGAAACCTGCGAACTCCATCTTTCATCTCTTCAAGAACCCTAAAAGGAACACCATGGTTGACCACTTGGAAGAATCCCCATTTCTCCGCCGCATGTCTAACCTTATCGACGACGCTC